ACAGAACTTGATAACATCAGACAAGAATTGTCCTGACTTTCTCTAAGGTCTGAGATTGATCTGCAATTACCAGTGGGAAGGAAACACAGAAATGCCGTCCCATGCTGGGTCATAAGATCTCCTTCCAGGAATGCTCCTGCCCCAGTGCAGAGCTTGGAAAGTACACATGATGATCACATGATACAGTGGTGGTGGCTGCATCTCCAGGCAGTGCTAATTCTGTAGATGAGTATTCAAATACGGAAATAAGTTATCTTAGCCTCAAGTTCTGGCAGCTGGAACGGGGCACTGCTTCCTGCTCTGTCCTCACCAGCACCATCGTCGTGCTTGATGTACAAATATTTATGTTCCCATAAGAAGGCAACCCTTGGACTTCAGTGACTGCATTCAGTCCTGAGATCTTTTTTAATGAGCCCAGGCCTAGCAAGGTTGATCCAAAGAGGAGCTTGTGCCTTCGCCATCTTCTGGAGGGAATTTGCAGCTCTGCTTCTTTACTGCCTCAACTAATCCTCGTTAGCGGTTCATTCTGCTTTAAAACATGTGAGCTGCAATAGGTGTATGTCAGCTGGTAGCAACATGGCAAGACCAAAATTCTTCAGAGCTAAAGATTTATCTCCTTTAGATAAGTAAACAGCACAATAACAGCATAACAGCTCAAACAAATGATGAGAAATCTAAACAGCATTCCAATTTCATGTTGCTGTATTCTTTAAAACAATTCACACATGCCATCAAAATATTTCTTCTCCTTGTCATTTTTTTTTTTTTTTCAACAGACAAAAGTGATTCTTCCTCGAAACACAGCCACAGCTCACATATATATATATTTTTTTCTCCTGAAAACAAAGACACTTCCGGAGTGAGTCAGGGCAAATTCCTTCCTTCAGATGAGAACACCTCATCAATCTCTCAGCCCAAAGAAAGTACTTCCCCCCTTTTCCTTCCTGGAAAATTGTATCAGACCTACCATTTTCTGTTGATTCATTTTTAGGAAGTTACTAGCTCATGGCCAGAATCTTGTTTGTGACTTCGCATTCTTTACATGGCCTTACTGTTTCAGAGTATTTTAACTGACTGTGTGCAGTCTTGGCATGCTTTGGCACTGAGTGGATCCCTTGAGGCTGGGGGCCAGGCTGGGCATTTCCCTGCAGAATGAGTCACTTCAACTGTTGAGTTTGCTGTATTGAAAGTCGTCACTGCAAAACTTTCCAGAATAACAGAGAATTTTCTGGATGTGTGCACAGCTGTGTGGCTTCCTTCGGAAGGAGGAGGAACCACGAGCAGGTGGTGATCTGGACATCCGTGCTGTTCATACAAGCTGATTTCACCAAGCACGTAAGTGCTGGCAATGGCTCAGGCAGCAGGAAAGGGCTCTGGCTTATACTCATTTATTTTATTGCTGATCTTAACATGCTGGTGGGATAGAAGACCATCCTGTGGGCACTAAGTAACCACAGTTAAGTAATGACTCAGGATTCCCTTGGAGGCTGTTAGCATGTACAGTCTTCTCCCCTTTTTCACATGATTTCAAAATAATTAATTTTAAATGATTGGAAATACCTGTTAAGGAAGCTGCTCTTTAGGCTGGACTGGCTGAGGTTCAGTGCTTCCCAATTCTGTCCTATGCATCTTGTATAGGATCGCTTCCACAAAATCCTTCCTCTCTTCAAGAGAAAACACACTGTAATGTTTACCATCACTTTTTTTTATCACTGAATCATAAAAATTCTCCCTCCCTTCCTCCCTTCCCCTCCCCAAATCGTGTATAATTTAATAAAATCCCCCCATAAAACTGTCTTAGAATGTTTGCTAGGCTGGGTGAAAAGGCATATCATTTCTCTTTGAAATGAGATCTTGTTTGCAGCCTCCACGATCTTTGTACTTGAAACTTTACAAAGCAAATGAAAAATAAAATCATTTCTCTGTGGAAAAAAATCTAAGACTTCTGCAAGTTTGCAAGTGTGTGAAAAGTGAATTGTTTTGGATGTCTGTGGTGGAGAAGTGAAAGCTACAATGTATTAGTCTGAAGAAGAAAAAAAGAAATGAAACCAGAAAAGACCTTGCAGAATAATGCCTCTAGTTCTATCTCTGGACTATTACACTATGTAATAACTGACTGTCCAAAGAGAGGGACAGCAGCCATGTCCTCACTGCTGGTGGCACAGAAAGAAGCAGCCTGAGATACACCAACAGCTCTGCTCAGTTGGAGAACAGCAGACCTGAGAGGAAAAAAACCCAAACATCCATGGAAGCACTTTAAATTCCATGTGTTTGATTTTTCACTGTATTTACAAAGTGAAGAAAGCAATCAAAATATTTAGAAATATTGTTATGCCTTTTGCTAAACTGGACAGTTTTCAGAAGGATTTTTGCTATTTGGAAACTTCTGGATGGCAGAGATGGGATGTGGTTCTTTCCCACACTTGGCCATACACAAGTGAGAAGGAAAATACTTCAGAGGTTTCTTTCTGGTCAATTTGCTGCTGGAAAATGTGGAAGAGAGGAAGAGTGATTCTGCTTGCCAAACTCGGGGGGATGGGGGGAAGAGGATGAATGGAGATCCTAGCAGTTAGCCACACTCAGACAGAATAACTGTCGTAAGTCTTCTCCACTGGGACTCACAGATAAGCCGTATGTTGATCCAAGATATGGATTGTTTAAACGGGTTGAGAAATTTGACCACAAGATGGAAACTGGCTCTGTTAAGTGCAGGAATAGTGAAATGCTGTGTTTCGCCTCCCATAATGGCTGGAAATCTGTGGCAGCAAAGGATAACATTTGTTTTACATTAAAGGACAGACTGGGTTTTGAAGCACAGCTCACAGCCCTTTGTCTCCCAGCTGATGGCATGGGCTGTGCTCCCCATGCTGTGCCAGGAGGGCTCACGGCAGGTTTTGGTCTGCCTCCTGGGAAAGGAGAGGCTGCTGCATTTCTGTTCTGTCCTGAGTCTGGGGTGGCAGTTGGCTGCTTTAAGGCTGATGGAGCCAGGTGTATGTGGTACGCCGTACCCAAGGTGAAAGCTCTCAGAAGGGTCAGAGTGAGCAGAGGGAGCTCAGACTGCAAAATGCGCAGCGTCAGGAAACCCGGACCTTTCTGGGACAGTTTAAATTTGGGAATCTATACTTGCTCATCCAGTTTGCTCTAAGAGGGACCTGTGGGCCTTGCTTTCTCATCTGATGTCTCGTTGTCTTTCCAGGTGCCTCCAAGCAGATAGGAGAAGGCCTTATGACCTCTCTCCCCTGAGCACATACACTGGTCTGTGACCACCATCATTCTTTCTCACTTGTATTCTCTCCCAAGAGCACTTACCCTGCTTGTCACCGCTCTGTCCCATGCCCAGGTCCTCGGAGGGGACTGGGCCTCCAGGTGATGTTGTGAGACCAGGCCTCTTCTCTGCTGCAGGGACTGCTGGAGCTGCAGCATGTAGCTGCACTGCCTGCACAGTGTGCCAAACGAGGTGACCCTGTGAAACACTCAAGAGCAGTAACGCCTGGTGCCCAAATGGCATTTACCTTAACATGAAGCAGAATCCTGTCTGACCACAATCACCCCAGCCTTCTGATGCCTGAGCGTTTGGGGATACCCACAGCACTTCGCTTGTCTCTGCTTCGCTTTTCTGCTGCAGCCTGAGCTGTTTGCAGAGGGTATATAAGAAACATGAGGACCACAGGAAGGTTGTTACCTACGCTATGCTTTCATCCCACGACCCATAGTGAATTTTTATGTTTTGTTAGTGCCTATCCGACATACAATACCTATTATTTATGTTTTGCAAGTGGAAAATCTTACTTTTTTAATATATGTAAGTGATAACTAAAATAGAAATCCCACTTATTTAAATAACATATTCAAGCATAGTTACTGATGGCACCTAGTACAGCGATCAGCTGACATTTCTCTTTTTGGACCATATTTCTGTTCTTTTAAACTTTACCTAACTTCAGCTATTTGTCCTGACAGTTCCAGTATGACATTTCAAGACATGACTGCTGTTTGCAAGTGGCTAGCTTGATGCTTGTTTAGGGTTCTTGTTTCAAGAGTGATGATCACTGAACACCCTTATCTTTCTGAACACCCTTATATGCATTCAGGATATTAAACTGTGGGCTCAGGTGCATGGTTGCTTCACGATGTTGTCCCCACAAGTGTAGCCTAATTAGCACCTTCTCACAGCCCTGAAACACTGAGAAAACAATTAACTACTTACATTTTTACAAAGCTGACTTGAAAATAAGAACTGGAAAGAAATGAGGATGTTCGTCACTCATCAGAATGGGCTTTGGTCACTGAGAAACACATAAATGCTGTGAATGCACATCCGACATGATAAAAAATAACAGGTAGCTACTTGGTGGGGGGTTCTGGCAAAAAACTCTAAGTGACCTTGTAGTTAAAGCAACCTTAATTGAGAAATTTCCTAATTTCAGGGTGCTTACCTAGAAATCTTTAACAGTCCTTTCATACAGTGCTTTGTTATACACACAGCACACTACATTACGCCTCTGGCATCCTTCTTTCAAGCCCAATTCTGGTCGGGAAATAGGGAGATTCATGTGAATTGATAAAAATTTCCAGGCAACAAAGAACTGATGCATCACGCTTCTGTTTTGGCCATTGGATATAATTCAATATAAACAGAAGCCCCAGTTTTGGAAAATTTTAGAGAAGCATAGTAACTATCCAGGAGATTTAGCTGCAGAAAAATAGCAGCCATTCATTTATTCACACTTAAATGACTCCCAGTAGAATGTCTGTGGCTATTGCTGCCCGTAATGCAAGAAGTAACAGACTTCTGGATGAGCTTAATCCCCTTTTCTTTGATGTTCAGACTTGTTCTGGATACTTCAGGAGTTTCATAAATTGTAGACTTCAGTGTATGCAATTCCAACCCCTTCCCCCCCTGTAAATAGACCTGTAAATCATGCTTGAAATTTAAGATGCAATATCTGCTTTATAGAAAATCCTTCAAACGTCTCCCCCTAAAACCACACCACCACTGCTTAGCATTATCTGTTTATTTAAGTTCAGTTAAAACAAACATACAATGTTTCATTGAAACTGTGTTGCACTCTGCCAACAGCTGTAGCTCCTCTGCTGGCCTCTAACAATACAGTGACTACTTACATATGTACAGGGATGTACTGTAGGATGCCTGAATCTGATGGCCTAACACGTCTGTTAGAGCCTAAGAGTTGTTAAATTGCAGCATTCAGGAAATCATAAACATCCATGGTAAATTTCAGAAGCAAAACATACACAAACCTGAACTATGCTTTTTATGGACCCAAGTGACATTTGTGTTTATTGCAACATATACATTTGTAATAAATACAATCTCGGCGTTTGCTTACACCCTTTGGTGTAACACACTACATCCGTTTTGGTAAGCATTACATTTTGTTGTGGAAGGACCTTTCCTTTGACAGTTGTTATACAGATGTACAACATGAGCAACTCATTGAAATGATGTAATTTTCAGTAATGAGAGAGAAATATATACATAAATCCCAAGCCCCGAACCTACACTATATACATTATACTTACAGTATATACACACATACAATTTTATGTACATATAATATCATAAATATTGAAAAATAGGTTTAGGCTTAATGGATTAATGTTTTATAAATAACATATTACACTTAGGACTGAAATATCATGGAAGACAGTAATGTCTAACTGAGGTGACAGAACAGTGGTTTAATACTGAAGCTGCTCTTTCAGGTCATTTGTTATGTAGGCAACTTTAGACAGACAGGTTTCCAAAAATAAACATAACTAAAAACAACAACTAACCAAAAACATACATTTGAAACCAACCCAGCCAAGTGGAACTCAACTGTTGCAGGTGAAGAGCCAGCCATCAAGTAATACAACGCTTAACACAAAATCCAGAAATTGCTACATTAAAAGAGTTAGATGACATACATGGTAACAGCATTATGAGGTGCCATCACAAAAATCGTTCTCCTCTCCAGGTGCAGAGAGGGACTGCGTAGTAACCTCTAATTTTGTTCTCTCCTATCGTTCTGAGAGAAAGATTATTATTTTTTTTATCAAGCTGGCAAGGGAAGTGCTTCATCCCTTATGTGCTACAAATTGCTCAAAGGTAGACATTTCAATCCTCTTCAGTTCTGTGTTTGCAGAGGAAGAAGAGCTGCCGAAGTAGAGGCACGCGCTCAGCACTGCTGTGTATTCAGGTACCATGGGGTAGACACCATGGATGTAAAGTACCTGAGGCAGAGAAGTACCTAAGGAGCTTTAGTCAGTGCTGACTTCAGGATCGTTCATCGCCAGTTGAGCACCACCAAACGAATGATACAAACACCACAAAAGAAATCTAACTTCTCATTACAGTTTACATTACAGACTTAGCAACCAGCACTTAAAGCCATGCAGAAGTATCAGTACAAAATACCTGCAATTTTTTTTCGTGGATTTTAAATGGCTGGGCAGAGCTTGATGTTATCTGCCAAACAACGACTGTAATTTAGATTTGTTCCTGACCGATTCTACAAGAGCAAAAAAAGTCTCAGGCACTGTTTCATCAATAGATTACAGGGCCCTACTTGTTCCCTCTGAGAAATGCTGAGTGGAACATCGTAAATCAGACTTTTAAAACATGGTGTTAGATGAAGAAAACTGACCACATTGCCATGATTATTTCATTAACAATCCCTATCGAGGCTTTTGTACCTAATATTGTGTTTGAGAACCTCTTGTAAGCCAAGTACGCTGTTACATAAGTGTTATTTCTCTTCACCCTGGGATAAGAATGAAAGAGTAAACATGCACTAGAAACAAAACAGCTATCACAACCATACAGCATCTGTTTCATCAGCTAGCTAGGGTTCATAAAAAACTTACCTATTTCTGAAGCAAACAAGTATGAGATGACTATTCAGTCTATGAGGTTATCTGTAATACTACGATACACTATAAATTGGAAGAGGAATCCCATTGTGTGTGTGAAGAGAGTTTGTACCAAGCATGAAACACTGGCGCAGTTATTTTGTGGATTTGACTCAGAAACAGAATAGTCAAGTAATTAAAAATCCAATAATGGATGAGTACTTTGAGAAATACTGTACAGCTTTTGAATATTATACAACCAGTAAACTACATTAGGACCTTTTTCTTTCCCTACTGAGTGTTTCAAGACAGGACAGAAAAAAAAACAACCAACAAACATTTCTACAACTGAAAGTGGACCTTATTGATGAACAGAACTCCATGAAGGAGTCTTTTATTAATGGCATAATTATATGCTCCATTGCCATTAAGTTTTTATCTACAACAGAAAAACAAACAAACAAACAAAAAAGAACAAAAAAAAGCAAAAAACCCCAAACCCTGTTTTACCCAATTGCACTATTGAGTACTTCAAGAATGGAAATGTCCATACCATCACTCTGAATTCCACATTAACTACATTTCTCAAGTGGACCCATTCTAAGGGGTACATACTTTTTAAAGCTTGACAATTTGGGTTTCCACATTTTTTTCTTTTTTTTTTTTTTTTGAAACAAAGGTAAACTGTAGTTAAAATTTCAGTATAGTAAAAATTAATTTTTAAGAGAAACATTTGAAGATTTTATTTGAATTGGTTCATCTTCTGTTTTGGTCATCAGAAGTATTTTTTAACATAAAATTTCTTCTAGTTAGGCCTCTAAAGAGAGGCAAACTAGATTCAATTTAGGACACCGATTACTTATTTTTATGCGCATGTTTCTGTTTAGAAAAAAAGTTTCTTAAAGTCAAAATAGTGCTTTTGAGGTCCATAAGAATTTTTGGTACAAAAAATAATAGTGTTGTTCTCTCTCTCTCATTGGTTATTTAAATGCTTTGCTGTAAATTAAGAGTCATTTCTCACATCGAATGGTTCCATTAGGCACATTCAAGTAAAATAACAAAATATCCAAGTAACAATGATGAAAGCCAAACATGGCTTGATAAAAGTCTACACAGAGTTCTATCCATTCTCTGGAATGGAATAAAGTTGTCACTTCCTTCAGCCAGACACTCACGTGGTTTGATGTTAATATCCATTTCCATCATGCAGAATAGTTCCTTAAAGCCAGAGTTCAGGTATTCTACAATCAGAAGAACCATCAACAAAGAATCTGTATTTTAAAGGAAGGAAGCTGAATAGCTCATTTTCATTCTCAGTAGGTATCTGAGTGAACACTGGCATTTGAAGTGGAGTATTACACCAGGACAGTTAATGCCCATCAGAAGCATCAGTATGGATCCAGTCTAGAATAATCAGTGTCATACACCCAGTCATCACAAGTATACCACTTAGAAAGAATAATGCAGCCTGAAAAGAGAGAATATAAAGAAGCGGGATCAGTTTCTGCTACTGGATCTATGAAGTCATGCATATATACAGCTTGAATGCCATTGCTCATGGAGGAAGGAGCAACTAGTAAAAAAAGAAGACAAAATATCACAGAAAGCAATAAGAAGTTGGACGTTTTTCTTGTAACTGAAATCCTTTTTCAAATAAAATAAATAATACCCCCCCAGTATAGCAGACCTGTCCTCAACCGCAGGAAACCAATGTAGCTCTGCTGATAGCAGGCTGCGCCACTCTGCACTGGATTGGCTCTGCATCAGTGAAGTCTAAGACCAGGCAGAGCACACAGATCAGTCAGAATGACTGAAACGACAGGAGCTAAGCTCCTGAAAGAAAATTTAAGGGAGAACTGCAAGGCTTTTTGTACAGAGCTTGTCAGTAATCTTTTGAATACAGAACAATCTCAATGTAGCACTGCTGTTGAGATGGGGAGAAAGAAAAGCCATTAAAGTGAACTGAGCCTCGTGATGGCAGTGTCCTCAGTTCTGAGTACTTACATAAGTTCCACACGTTAATTACAATAACATTAGATCTCTTCATCGATTAGCCTCACCAGGATTTCAAAATCCTTAATTTATGAAGAAGGAAACTAATTTTTTTGCTCTACATTAGTAAGCAAGTGTAATCTGCCTATGTTTGTCTATACATACCCCAATCTTTTGCACCGACTTCATTGGCTCCTTCTTGACTAGTTTGATATAGAAGGCAGAAGGAAGAATAAAGATCAGCATAGCTGCTGCAGACGCACCTGTTAACAAAGCACAGACAAAAGTTTTGTGAACAGGTAAGCATCATTCACTTAGACCATCACTGCATTCTCCAAGATTTAATGGTCTACCTGAAGTGCTATGAAAATGCTTACCAATGAATCCAAAGATGTCTCGGATAGTAGGGACGAAGATAACGAGCACGTTGGTAAATGCCAGAAGAACGACTGTGATGGCACAGTGACGCCACCAACTGAACTCCTTCCCTGCCCACAGAAGTTGGGTAACGGAACTGCGGATCTTTCAAAGAGAAGAAAAAAAAACATGCTGATTTCTGTAAGCTGATAACCTAACAGTTCGAGTTCTTTCAGAATCAGGGAAGCAATACAATTGGATGACTTCACGTTAACTGCTTTGTAAGTGCTGCCTATTTATTTTTATTAATGGCATAGAAATATTTCAAACTTATTAAAATAAACTTATGGTTTTTTTTTCAGTTAAGAGAAAAACTCTATACATCAAAAAATGGAAATTGCCACATCAGCAGATGAGATAAAAAATAATTGTATTAAGATTTAAAAAAAACTACTTACTGGGAAAATAACCACAGGCACAGTGAGAGTTACAGCCATAAGTACAGCAAGACGCACAATTAGAAGAAGAATGTCAGCACCCAGAAAAGCAGAGTAGGTATGAAGTAGTTCTGATTCAACTCTTCCTATAAAGAAAATAAGACTTTAGTTTGATGTAGTTGGCACGCTACCCAAGATAACTCTTTGCTCAAAATACTGTTACAGTCTGAGCAGTGCACATCAAAAGCCCCACAGTTCCTGAAAGCACATCTCTATTTTACTCAAGTATAACTTGGAGGCAATTAATCTGTTCTCATCCAGTACCCTAGGCCACCTTCCACTACTGATCTGTTTTTGGATAAGCACTTTGAAAATATAAAAAAAATGAACGTTACAAAACTTCAGTTTCTAAACACACACTGCAAGCATTTGTTTGCTCTAACTTGAAAGTACTACTGCGGATCTGCAAAACATAATTCATTTAAAGGAAAGTAGGGATGGTAACACTCACCGTAAAACGTTAAGTAACCAAAGAGAGCAGCCAATAAATACATCAGGAACATGGCAAAAAAAGATACGTAGGACACGTTCATCATTCTTTTACGGCTTCGGCTGCAAGAAAATTAAATATTGTCAGCAATGAGAAAACACTGGTTTATACTATTTCCTTTGTACAGTGAAATCAGGGGAACTTATCTGGTATTTACCTTTTCAGTTCTTCATAGATAGGAAGAATTGCAGGATGACAGACAAAAGAAAATGTTAGGATTGGGACAGCGTAGACAGTCTGAAAAACATAAATGTTTTTTTTAAGCATCTCAACAGACATTAGAAATCGAGTTCTAAAAAATTCATCAGTAAGTTCCCATTCTGGAATTCGGGATTTCTTTCAGTTTTCCATGAAGACCAGCGATCCTTTGGATCTGGCACTTTGGCAAAAGTAAAACTGTTTTATGTTTCTGTTTTTTAGAATTCAGATTAAGGTACGAAATACTCTCACGTCTCACTGAAGTCCATGCTGAACTGAACATATTTTCATTCAGAATGTCTTCTGCAACTCATGGGGCTGAGCCGTGATAGCCTGATCTTGGTTACTGTGTGCATTTCCTCCCCATGTCTGAAGATTCACCACTGTTATTAAGCTGATTTGAGAGTCAAGACTGTGCCTGAGACCTTAAAGTCTGTTTCAAATCATGGCATACATTTCCCAGCAACATGCTTCAACTACTCAATTAGTCCTCTTTATGTTCTGCCTTTTTGAAGTGCTTGACTAAACAATGGAACCTGAGGAAGCTCGAGAAATGCTCTAACCAAGAATGAGACCTGAGCATATGACATTCTTCTCAGTTAGACACCTCGAGCTCCTGTAATTTCAATGCATTTCTATGCACGGGAACACCTAGTCTACAGGAGGTAAACTTGTGTCCAACTCTACCATAAGAGAAATTCTTTGTACTTATCAAGTTTGGATAAGAAAAAAGGACCTGATCTAGAACTTATTTATATGGTCTCTTTTGGCTATTTTTAAATGCAGAATCTGATTCTGTCAGTTACCTGTGAATTGAAGATGAAATATTTTGGCTTGCATGCATCATCAACTGTTATATTTTCATCTGTGAAAGGTACCAGTGTTGCATTTATTAACGTTGCGTTTATGATGTCACTGTCCATAGGACAAGGAATCTGAAACATCTTCCAAATTACCTGGGAATAAATGAATGCATTTATGTTACTTTCATTAATGCAGAATGTGAAGCCTCTCAGAAACTCTAATTTCACTTCAAAAATGTAGATGGAAGTCTACAGAATTATACTTACAACAATCAGAAAGAAGACCATGCAAAGTAAGGAAAAGCCGCTGGTATAGCCCAGATATCCTGTGTTCAAAAAAAGATTAAAAAACAAAATCTAAGATACAGTATTCACATTGTAACATCATTAAGGCAGGATATTTTCGGACTGCGATCTCTTTGGATTGCCACTTTTCTTTACACTGAATAGAACAAGTTAACCACCCATTAACTTCCTAATCTCAACCCAGATCTGAAAGTTCTCAAAGACATGCAAGAAAAATGCAGCACTGAGTCTGTACTAATAAACTTCGTAACTTTAAAAACCTTATTTATTTTGTTATTATATACTGACTATAAGAATCATTCTAAAAAATACATTCCGTGACAAGTCAGCCTTCCCTTTTGTTTTTATTGTATCATTTAATTTTCAGGAAGTAATAACTTCAGAAAGTAATTCACATTAAGACTTCCAGTTATCAAGGTTCCACCACAGAATTCTTTAAATAGAAAGCATGTTATCTTAAGTTATTCAGATACATTACTGGATTACAGACATTTTATGTAAGGCACCTTATATAAATATTTTACTGCTGCTTGGCAACTGAAATGAAAAAGGTGACTTCTATTTACACTGGAAATGCCCAAGACTAGCACTGTTTTCTTTGGAGACTGCCACAGGACAGTCAGTAACACTGCACAGCTGATCAGAACAGGTCAAACCTTGCAATTGCAACACAAAGTACTGCTAATTCTTGTTCTAAAGCTTTCCTCTCTATAGTCCACAACCACATCCCTACCCTTTCAGATTCCCACCCCCATCCCTTCCCTCCTCCCCCCAGCTCCCCCCGGTTTGGGGACAGCTGTCATTTTACAGAGGACTCCAAAACTCACACATCCTATCAACCCATTTCCTCACACTATTTTCAGTACATTTTTAATCTGATTCTACTTTATTTACTGCTTACCTAAATTTTTCAGTAAAGACAGGGGAAGAATGAGGATGACAGACACCATCAGCACTAAATAATCGCCATTAAGATACCATTGTCTGCAGGATAAAGACAGCATGTGTAAGTAAACAAAATACTTAAAAACTCACAAGATTTGCAGTTTAGTCCTCAATCTTATTTTTTCCTACCACACGTGGTTATTTATAAAAATGCACTGTCTGGTATCATCAAGGATTAGCACTCGACTTACTCTATGGACCTAAAGCCCTACAGACCTTCCTGTCTCACCCCAAACCTATATTGTGCCTTTCCTTTAGTGTCCTTTTTCTAAAATTAATATGCATCTGGAAGTCAGAAGACAAAAAAATAAACGATTGGGGGGAGAAAAAAAATCAGCTGGGATAAACCACGAAAAATAGTAATTTGCTTAAACGTTGATTCCTGACTCTCCAGATGTATTACAACATAACAGGGCCCCAGCAGGGTGATTATCCACTTTAATGACAATAAAGTTCTGCTGGGTGCCCTGCGGGAGTTAAAGAAAAACAGATGAGGGCTGGAATTAAGGCAGTAGCTCAAGCCCACTGGCTGGAAAGTACTGGAAGAACAGTGGGATTCTACTGGAGGCATGATTAGTCCCTTCTAGTAGGGAACACTGGTAAGAAAGAAACTCGGTAGATTTTTTCCCTTCAGATCTTTGTTTATTTTTCCATTTATTCTGTACAAGGCAGCAGCTATTTTATGATGCAGTATTTTAGAGTGTAGGAAGGTGACCACCTTCCTTGGAAAGATGGGAGAACAAAACTAGATATGTGTAGATGGAATGTAATTTCATGGAGCTAACAGGACAACTGATCTTCAGTAGTTTTAGCACAGCAGAGTAACTGCTTTCTTCACGTGACTGTACAGAAATATCTCATATTTTTCAAGTAATTCAAGTAACATTAAGCACTTATTCCCAAATTAACATTTTATGTTTTTTTTTTTTTTTTTTTACAATTACTTGAAATACTGTTAGCGAATACATACAGGATATATTTCAAAATGAACTGTCTGCTATTCAGATAAACAATGAAAATTGTATTACTCCATTGGAAATTTGTGCATTCAAACATAATTTCTGAATTACAAGCCTACATGCTAGTTGAAATATGGAATACTTTTAACAGACTTGTTCTGGGTTCATGTAGCAAGTGCAGAAATAATTTGGTTCTTTTTACCCAATTTTATCTGGGATAACTAAGCATAGACATCTATTTCAGGAAGTCCACGTATGTAGGACATGAATGTGGTGTGCTCTTCATTTACTTATTTAATGCAATCGTCTGATTTAAAAATAAATCAGAGCAGACTTCTGGCATTTGGCAGTCGAAAGAATGGGTGCTTTCATTGTGCGTGTACAACAAAAAGGTAATAGGGACTTTCAGATCAAGGACATAAAAGTTTTTCTGTTCTGAAGAACAGGACTGCTCAGCTTCAAAACTCAGCTGAGTATTAAAAAAAGACAATGCAAAATAAATTGTAAAAATGGAGCTAGTATTTGTAATATTGTATCAGAATTTCAGAACATTTTTTTCTACAGTGAGCGTTATTTTGGGACATTTAAACAGGTAAGTGCTTACATTTTATGCACCAGGCTGCCAGAGTGGAATCCATGCCAATGGTAGCCACCCAGACTCCCCTAAGCAATGCATGGAGAGAGTCAGTTAAACGGGGTCCACAATTGTTAGAGCACTGAGAAAAGACTTACTTTAAATCAGTGAACAGCCAGAAAGAGAAAACTGAGGATATAAATCTCAATGTCTGAATTTTGTCTGTCAGACACCGCTGACGCATTCGTACAGCAGTAGCTGTATCCAGTGCAATTCACAGCCCTGGCCCTTCCCCCCGAACTCCAATTGATTTTGAATGCCCTTCTGGAGATGGGACAATTAAAAATACTTGTCTCCAAGCCCCCTTGTAAATATCACCAGTTCCAGGGGCTTGGAAAACAAGGCTTGAAGAATTCAGCCAAATGAGGGAAATAAACTGCCCCAGGAAAGAACTACGCTAACAATTAAATGAGGTAGGTGGCATTCTTCATCCGAGTACATTAAATAATAATAATAATTTAAAAAATTACTGTTAGCCTCATGACAATATCTATCAGCAAGCTGTATGAACTGTATGAACACCAAATGGCTTGAACCCCTTGGGGAACACAGGCAGAAAAATGCCTACCTTCTGAACTCAGGCTTAGGTGTAAGTTGGAGTCTTGAGCTGCTCAGCCCTCTCAAGACTGGGACACTTCAGGACAAGGCACAGAAGTACAACTCTGAAGAGTGAGATTTATAGCACTTAACTCTATCCATCTGAAGTCAGGTTTCTTGTTTTAGATAGCTGTTTTTACATATCCTTTCAATACAGTGATATATCACTCAGTGGAGATGCCCAAAACAAGTGTCTAAATAAGGGACGCTAAACTGATCACTTCAGAGGATTGTCTCTCTTCACAGTTTATGTATATGCAGACCAGAGAATGATAAGCTCAAAATCTAACTTTCAGACTGGTAGATGTAGGTAAAACAAACTCCACCCAAGGCACCCCATCCCCTTTAAAAGCCAAGCAGAAAAGCCACAATGGAGTTAAGGTGTCTCCAGGACTAAACGGCATTAAGTTGATGACTTTTATTTGGGCACAGAAACTCCCTTAAGTTCAGCTTTTAAACCCATGCCTTTTTTGAGAACGGCTCCTGAAATTCATTACATCACCTTACTCTTATAGTCAACCACAGTATTAACATGAAAAAAACAAAACAATCAATCCAAACTAGTTGGAGTGTAACTGGAAAGCAAACAAACAGAAAAACCCCAACACATAACCACATTTACCTTTCCTTATCAAGAGTGTATTTACATACATATCTTGTATGTACATATGTTAACACTTACCTGATTTTCTTTAGAGAACAATTTTTTGTAATATGATACAACACCTGTATTTCTCTACCCTTTTCCCAGGACAGGCTGGATCTAAATGAAGTGGAATGCTTAAGGGAAGGAGAAACTTACTGTATCTCTGTCTGATAAGAAGCTACCCTATGGTGTATCGAACGTGGTCTCCAAATAAAAATATATGCAGTCTCCGTATTTGTTTCTCCTAATAGTTTCTCTGATGAGGAGTTCTAACACCTACCCTGTGTTCTCTTCGATGTTCATAAATGTCTTGATGACCAATGGTAACTCATATTTCACTATGAAGAGGTAGCTTGACATAGCTGTAGGTGAATAACATCATAGATCATTACAAATACAGAATATGTCACAAGATGCAAGAATCACATAACATGTTTCATAACCTCACTTGAACACAAGCAGTTAATGAACACATGTTGTGTGAAAAAAAAGTCTCCACAATAAGTAGGGAATAATTATTACTGACAACAAAGTCATTTTAAGATCTTGCCCTCACCTCCAATGTTCTGCATTGTAATTGATCCAGAAGCAGCAAGTTTTCCAGGCATACCAAATGCCTTCATTCCCAACTGTTCATATAATAAAGATCCTAAAAGAAAACCCATCAAAACAGATAATTGGAACGATGTTATTTTGAAAAAAATATATATATTAAAAAAATAGTACAAACAAACACCATGCTTACAAAATAGAACTTTGCCATACCTCCTTCGTTAGCAGTCTTCAAAAGGAGATGCACTGAATACAAAGAAAGTATTGAAACAACTAGCAGGAGTATCCTGGAGGGGGAAAAACATAAATGAGACACAAATGATTTTCTGCAACCTTATTAAATAAAAGCAAACCAAACAATAACACTATACTAAATCACTATCTGAAAATAAATTATAATTCTAAGGCTGAGTTTTCAAAATGCTTTCAGCTAATGTCTAGTTTGAAAGGAGTTTATACTAAAATGCATTTTAGAGGAACCCATTTTAGAGAAATTCTAGAGGAAAATACAGAAAACAAGCATTGTTTAATAAGGTGGCAAAAGCACAGGCGACCATTAGGACACTGCAGTTGGAATTTTGTTACATTATTTATTTTGTTACATTATTTAAGTCAACAGGATGGTTTTTGTATCAGTGTAAGAAACTGTATTTCTCCTGTCCTCCTTCCCTTGTTCAACAGTAAGTCTTGAGTGCACCATCAGCTCCAACCACAGTCAAAGCCAAGATTATCTCTCACTCATCAACAGATCAGCTTGTCAGCTTAAACTTTTTTCTTTTCAAATGAAACTGTTAAAGCTTTTAAGGACTGAAAATTAAGGTATGTTCAGAGCTGTGCACCTGGTCTTCAAAAGGAAACGCAGGTCTATTGCAATAAAAAAATATTTACTCAAAAGTTAGATTTCGTATGAATTGCTTACATGGAATTGCTAGCGGCTTCTCTTCTCTGCAGCTTTCACAGGCAGCACATATTATTTCCAGAAACACAGTTTTGATACATCTAAAATTCAGGTCTGTGAATTGAACCACAGCAGGTGCACTTCCTGGAGTGGCACGCTAGGGGGGACTTCTTCACAGCTAAAGACGACTGTGGAAAACTACAATATATTCAAAAACGCCTTGGCCCTTCTTACACCGACTCAGGCATACTGCTTTCCAGTATACTTAATTAACAGCACATCTGCTGAAAAACACAAAGCTTCATTTAGAGTTCTCAGTGTCATCTGCCTGTCTCCTTCTGCAGCATTTTTAGCGTTAATGAAATTAGTAAACACTAGAAAGAACTGGAAACAAGAATATCTGAAAGATGAATTCACCCACGGAACACAGGAGACTTGTGTTAGTGTGCCAATTCTACCCCAATGCACACACACAAAAAAAAATAAACCTGTTTCTGAGAGGTACAGATTTAACTTAGATATCAACTAGAAACAGTACAGTGAGATGCATTAAGGTTACATTTAATTACACTTAATGCAGGTTCTGGATCCTTTAGTGTCAACCTTGAATAGCTCTGTAGAGGAGTGTTGACAACATTAGTCAGCAAACTCGTCTAAAAGTTAACTCTGCTCCTGGCTTCAGGACTGCATCATTCATTTCCTTAGCACAGTGCTGACACCAGTGATTCCACACAGCCTTCTAACAATTTACTGTCATAATCAACTGCATCTGGATGTGAATCTGTAACCTAGTTAGTAAAAGATGCTTGCAATTCCCTCAACATCACTGGTGAAGTTCTGCTTTCCTGCATCTGAACTATACCAGTTACGTCAAGTTTAATAGGTTAGTTTACTTTTGAATCAGTGTTACTGTAAAAAGATTTGAATGCACCACGTGGAAACAAAAGATAAGTAAATTATCTCATCACCTAATTGTTGGATTCACAGCTTTCAGCACTTTTTCAAATTTCAGAAAAAAAAAAAAAAAAAAAAAAGGGACTCCCTGTCAGGTACACACCTACACAGATACCTAACCTTACATTTATTTCTCCCTTCATTTCTTTTCCATTTCTCCTCTGAGAAATTTTCTCATGTGCGTTATGCTGTTTATCTTGTGTGCTCTGAAAATTAAGAGCATGAAGCTGATGTGTCAATAGGTGAAGTATCTCTCTATTCTGAGCACACAACTGTTTAGCCAGTTTAGTATTATCTAAGTCTCAGAATCCCCATTTGCACTCAGCTGCACTTAGACACGTAATTTATGCATTGTGTGAGCCAAACTGCCTCCAGTATATGGAAGATCTTTCTGAAGACCTTCCAAAGAGCTGTACAGAACTGCATCCTCACACAATTTCCAACAGTGTCACCACAGCCTTGTCCTATACCTGAAGGCTTCTGTCCATACACACAGAGTAACACAGATACACTGGTTATTCTACATCCCTCCCTCACAGAAACAGTGATTTTATAGGTGTGGACTCAATCAGTTCCCTGAATTGCATAAGAGTACAGCAGCAAAAAGGATTTCTTTGCTGATGCAAGTACACTACAGCTTTACAGTCATATAGTCAACGATGTCAGTGGAGGAAAAGCAGCATTAGTCCTGGGCCAGACATACAAGAGTCAGAGGAAACAATCCTCTTTATCTTATGCTTCTCTTCTAACTCACTACAGATTCTGTGCTTTTTGCATAACCATTACAAGAGCAGTTTATGTGTCAGTTTCCCTTTGAATGACAGACTTCTCAAGGGAGGCCTGTCACTCACAAAGAAGCTACAGAAAACATAGGAAACCTCAGTGTAAACTCTTTTTATGAGTGAAGAACTTGCAATTTATACATTTTTACAAACCCTTCTGAATTTATAACAATCCTTTCATTGAAAGCAATCCATAAATAGTGCAATACAATTCCATACCTGCAGCAATGACAGGTTATTTTGCAAAGGTGCAATTTTTACCTAAAATATCTATCCTTTATTAGTTACATAGCAGCAAGCTTGCTTCCTAAAAACAAAACAAAAAAACAAACAAAAAAAAACAACTAAGGATACTTACACAAAAAGAGCAATTCCAGTGTTAGCCATGGCATAGGAAAGTCCCAGGATGCCACTGCCCACAATAGCATTGCTCAGATTAAATACTGACATCCCAAAGGAAGTGGTACCCGGATGCTGAGGAAAGGGAGACAGGTAATGATTAATGGAAAGTTATCACTATCTCACAATTAAAACAAACATCTGTTTGCCAGTACAGCCGTCTTCCTGGACTGCAGATATCACGACTGGGTACTTACATACTGAGTTTCGTATTTCTTCTTTCCAACGTTGGAGTCAAGTAAGAAATTCTGATTTTCCGGATCCATATCTGCATAGTGGCTGTAAAAGACATCGCATCGTCAGAGTCCGCTTCAGACAGACCCTCGCTGCCACTTCCCCCTTTGCATCTCTGCTCCAGAGGAAGATGACAACGCCGGGCCGAGGACCCCAGGGGAAAGCCGCCCGCGCCCCTCACCTCTTCATGGCGGCCGGCTTGGTGGGGTAGGGGTAGCTGAAGTCGTTGCTGTTGGAGCTGTAGCTACTGCTATCCTCGTCGGGAGAGATGTTGAACTTGCCCATCTCGGCGCTGCTCATGGCGCAGGGGCCGCTCTTTTGTCCTTGGCGGCGGGGCGGCCGCGCCTGCGGAGGTGGGAGGCGACGTCAGTGCCGCAGCGGGCAAGGCGGCCGTCACGTGGCCGGCGCGCGCGCGCCCGCCCGCCCGCCGCCGAGTGGAAAAGTACCAGGAGCGGGCGGGGGGCGCGCGGGGCGCGGGCACACAAAGGTGGCGACCGCGGGGCCGGGGAGCCGCCGAGCCGCGGTCCGAGCCGCACCGAGCCGCGGGGATGGGCTGCGCCCCGTCTTTGAGGAGGCAACCCCCGGAGGAAGTTCTCCCCACGGCAGCCGCGCGGGGACTGATGCAACACCACGGCTCGATGTCACGGCGGCCGCAGCCCCGTGTTTACCTCCCGCACCCTCCCACCCCCCCACACACACCCCAACACCGCATTTTTTAGAGAAAAACGCAGAGCGGGCACGGGACCGCGCCGCAGTACAGCAGCGCACGCCCGCTCCTAGGTTCCAACTGCTATCCTTCCTGGGATGCGGCAGTGTCCCCACGCGCCCCGCCTGGGCATCCCCGCGCGGGGCTCCGCGCACAGCACGGCTCCGGGCCCCGCAGCCCCTCACCTCCTCCTAGGGCTGTGCGGCGGGTCTGTCCCGGAGTCCCGGCGAGACGGAGCGCTCCGCTCTGTACTGTGCTTCTCGCAAGGATTAAAAAAATAAAATAAATCCTCAGCTACAGAGCGTCAGCGGAACGAGAGGCGAAGAGGACCCGGAATAAATAAAGGCGGGGTACACAGTCACTGGGAAAAGCCGTCGGCGCGGAGGGAACACAGGGGCAGCGTTCTCGTAGCGGAGAGACGCACGGTGCCGGCTGCGGCGTCGCTCCCGGTCTGACGGCCCCTCGGGGCGCCGCCGCTCTTCAGGCAGGAATGCAGCGCGTCATCGCGAGGGGCGCGGCGCGCACTCGCCCGCCCTCCCGTCGACGCCGCGCCCCCCTCCCGCTCTGCCCGACTGACCCCCTTCCGCCGCACAGGCTGCGGGCGGGGCGCGGCGCCGGGAGCTCCGAGAGAGGAGGGGGCTGCGTCCCCCGCCCCGCGCTTGGCCGGGGGGGAGTGAAGAGGGGGGTACGAGCCGGAGCCCGCCCACCCATCGCACCTCTAGCCCTTCCGCGGTGTTGTGAACGGGGGCTGCGTGCACGTGCGTGAGCCCGGACCCGAGGCTGGCACCGGGAGTCTCCTTAGGGAGACGAGAGGGAATAGCGGCCTCCTACTGGCGATGGAGAGTGGGGTGATAGGGAAATATGCCTTCTCCCCCGCGGGGCAGCGGCTTCGGGGACGGCGGGCACGTGGCGCTCCACTCCGCTCCCTCACACGCGCACTGCGGGCCTTGGCCGTCAGGCGGTTCTCGGGCCGCGGGCGGTGCGGCCCCTTGTCCTCTCTTTTAAGGGCCGGGGTCTCGTTGGCGGTCGTGCTGCCCACGTTCGAGCATCTCTGCTGCCTACGTCGTGTCAGCCCCGCTCGTCGCTTCTCCCCCCCCGTCTAGGGCACGGCGGGCAGCGAGGCTCCCCTCGAGCGGAGCTTCACTCCTCCACACAGCCCCACCGGGCTCTATCGCTTTGGACCCCACCGGGGCTCCCGCGCTCTGCCAGGCTGGGGCACGGCCGAGCCACTCGACAGCGCGTCGCCCCGCTGACCGAGCGCCGGGCCCGCCGTGGCGGCGCGAAGCTGAGGCGGCAAGACCGTTACAAGTACAGAACGTTCCAGAGCGCCTCGGCCCGGAGAACAGGGTAGGGGGAGACGCGGCGGCGAGGGGCGGAGCGGCGCCGAGCACGCGCAGGAGGAGCGAGGCTGAAAATTTTCCATCCCGCAGTTCTTCCCCCTCCCCATCCGGGCGTGACATCACCCCACCGCAAACGCTCACCCCTTCCTCCCCCCCCCCTTTTCCCTCCCCCTTCCCCCCAGGGGAGGCGGGCGGCAGCTCTGCTGTGCGGCGCCCCTCCTGCTGAAGCGCGGTGCCGCTGCAGCGCGTCCGCCGCTACCCTGGGCGAGGGGCGCTTTGCGGGGGGGCGCTGCTCCCGGCGCTGCCTCGGGAGGCGCCCGTGAGGCTGAACTCGCCCCCGCCTTCACTCCTGTCCGCCCCGGTGCCTCGGGGTCGGGTTTCCGCAGCTCCGAAATGCGCGTGGCAGTGCTGCGACGCGCCCGGAGCAGCTGTGGCTCCCGCGGCTCCGACTGCGTTCCGGCGGTGCGCTGTGAGCGGGGCTGCTGTGGCTTGCGCCCCTGTGAATCGATAATGGGAATTTGGCAGTGCCGTTCTGCAGGGCCGAGCTGTTGTGCAGAATTGCACCGCAGAGGTCAGGCTGACCCGTTTGTTGCCGTTTCTGCTGGTTCCTCCGGACATCCCGTGTGTTGTGGGCAAGGTAACTTGGAGGTACCGATGGCAGCGTCCTGAAGGATGGCTTGGTGTGAATCTGATAAGCACGGGGAGCTCTTCACAGATGTGAAGCAGTTGCTGTGAGCAGCACAGCTGTACCGTTGGTTGTTTTTTCTTCAAGCCAAATCCTAATTTTATGTCTTGATAGATGAGTGTTGGATTATTTTTTCCAGAACTGTCCTCATATGAAACCAAAACAACATGATGAGATTTCTTTCCTCATTTATGAGGATAAAAACTGTCACAATACACTTAGAAAAATGGCACTTTCTGAACGTAATGGCCCCATTATTGGGAGGGTCAGTGTGTGGCACACGGAGTGCTCTTCGCACTGCTGTGTGATAGCGAGTCTGTAACATCTTTACCCATTTGGGGCTATTAGCTAACTGAAATGCTCCACTTTTTCAAGCGGTTTTAAGTTATGCCTCGCTGATTGAATTATAATTTTCCTGACTCTAATTACCAAGAATGTACTTGGCAAAATGTACATACAACGTGTTTCATCCAATTTTGAAACACATTTTGCAATCAGAATAATAAAAGTTAATATTCATCAGTTCCTCCCACCATAGTTTAAGCAATTCATTTGCTTTCATTGGGACATTGCTTTTCTTTCTCCCCTCACCAATGTTATTCTTCCCTTTCAGCCCCTTTGCCTTTTATCTGTCTGTATTCCCTCGTCTCTGTACCTTCCTTTTCTCCTGCTTCTTAATTTTTTTGTTCTTTTGTCTGTATCCACTTATTACAGACTCCCTTATAAACTTTGAGCCCTTAAGATAGCTAAGAAGGAACTCTTTGCACAACACATTTCTGTATTTACTTGGGTGCAGAATTATGGGTTGTTGGACTCCCCGCACTCTCATAATCATTTTGGGGTGAGTCTTTGCACTTTCAAAACAAAGAAAAAACAGATCAACAAAAACAAGATACAGAATTGCAAGAGTGTTGTAAGAGAAGCTTTTTGTGATTTGTGATTGTTAGGTGCTGAAGAAACTGGGTTAGCTTCAGTTATGTAGGTAGAAATGGAGATTCCAGTATGTTACTCAGGAGTGCCATGGGTTCTTTTGTAGCTGGAGCAGTGCATGCTGTGCACTTCCTTATTTCAGTTTGCAGCTGTGTCTCCCCTGTAAGTTCACCTCGTGCTCTAATGCACCCTAATTTCTTAGCCTGTGAACGTTTTTTTCTTTTTTTAAGTTGGGTTGTTTGTTTTTATGTGTAGAAAAAGAAGTAGCTGGCAAATGTGAATTTTCTTTGGTCATGTTCTGGCCTTTATAGCATGGGAGGTTCTTGTTTTGTACTGTTTCTTCCTACATATATAAACAAACCTTGCAGAGTACTTCAAACTACCTGTAGCACATGCCAGTGGAGTAATTTATGTTTATGGTATGCATCAAAATGTTATGTGTATGGTAATGTAAAAGTCAAGCCCATCCACGTGGTTTTTAGGTGATACTTCCTACACTGCCCAAAGGATATTAAATAAAATATGTAATATATCAAAGCAATTTGCACTTGCAGCTACATAATGTTCATTTTGCCTCCGTCTCCTGTGAATAACACATTTCTTATGCCGTGTTCTGTATCTGGTGAAATCCTGGAGGCTGCGGAAGGATCACAGTGTGGACAGTGGCAGAGGCCTGAGTGCTGGATTGTGCCCTGATGTGGCACTGCACAGTGGCCTCCCCACAGGCACGGTCATCACAAGGAAGCTGGAGGTGTGAGCAAGAGGGGAGAGCACTGGATTCGCAGTTTTGCTGTGTAGACTCAGTGGTCCACAAAGATGCAGGTGGGGCTGAAGATTCCAGTTTCCTGTCAACTAGTTTGGTTCATTCTTACCTCACACTGACTGCCTGTGGCATGCAATTAATGAAATTATAGGTTCTGATTATATGCTTTCTCAAACAAAACTTCCACTGAAGCCAAGAGGAATTACTAGTGTGTAAGGAATGCAGTATTGCATATCCTGCCTCTTGGGCTTTGTGATGGTGAGTTGGAGCTACATATTAAACTTGGTTTAAGCCCTAATTTTTTCACTCTGTATTTATCCTAGCCTAGTTTCAGTTTTGCAATATGAAAACAACAAAAACAGTACGTTAAGAACATAAACAGCAGCTTTTTTTTTTTTCTTAAAGTACATTTAGTATAATTATGGCTTGGATTTAAACAAAAAATAGGGAGAGATTCTGAATCTGAGTTTTAAATCCATCTGATTGTGCTTCTACACTGCAGTAAATTCCAAACAGTGGGTGCTCTATATGATGATGTGTACTGCTACTCATCCATAAGAAATTGTCAGCCTTAAATGGACATTGCCAACTGCTACAAAAACAATTTTTACTTTATGTTTTTAGCTCTGTAACATTTTTAGGGGGGTTAAAAATAGCCTTTCTTCATCAATCCTGACTCATCTTTTCCACTCAGCAAACACTGATTTTTTTTTTCCTGCGTAAAATTAACATGAATTTTAAAATGTATCTTCTTTTCCTCTCTCTCTCTCTCTCTCTTTTCAGTATGAATCTTGAAATATTTTGGGAATGGTATTTGCTAATTAAGTGAAACTATCATTTTCTATAAGCCATCCCACATATTTTTGTTTAGACCCTTATGGGAATAAAAGCTACTATTTTTGTTCTTCTACTGTTTGCTGGTGGCAGAGAGTATGACTTAAAGACATACATTTAGATTCCCAAAGATGTTTTCACCATAATTACAGCAGTCTGTACATCAGTCTCACTTACTGTGTCAGCAGATCTTTGAGCATGTTATCAACTAAATAATGCTTCAGATCTTGGAAAAGTCACTTGCATTTTTGCGGATCCTTTAAAAATAGTGTAAGTTTAAGAAATTTTACAGAGTTCTCCAGGCAAGGCCTTATGCAAGAGCTGTGTTCAGCAGGGAAGAAAACCACATTAGCTGTGCTTCACTCATTAATGGAAGTGTGAATATATTGATGGGTCACAAAAAAGCAAGCTAAGGCAGCTCAGTAACTGGTGCACTCTGATGGAACCCCAGAGAACCAGCAAGATTAGCCCCCCGTTTAGTATTTCTTGAAAAAAAAAAATAAATTGAATCTCCATTCTATAAATACATGTGTGGATGTATATGTAATCTTTTTTGTAAATTATTTATTATTTTTAGGAAAATCGTTGGCATTCCTAGATGTTTTGAAGATTGGATCCTCAAAACAATTGTGGGCAACAGTTGCTATTATCTACTGAACTTACAATTCTACTTTTCAATTACATCTGCTCAAAGTATGGCTTTTAACAGTACCACATAAGGTCTGTCAAATCTAATACTTTATCCTCAGCAGTGGCCAATAGAAGATTCTTCGTGAAGAACGCAGGATGAAGCATAAAAGTAGAGCCTTGCAGTTTATTTTTTAGCAGTATTTAAGGTTTTTGATACGCATTTGCATGCACTCATGCAGATGAATGTTGAACTCATGTGTAGTCTGGTGTTTAGCATAAGCAGTGCCA